ACTCGTCCCACCGCCGATACCGCCCGTGCCACCGCCGGACCCTTCCAGCGTCGCGATCCGCCTGTTCTTCTTCTTCCCGTTTGTCGTGGTAGCGTCCGTCGTGAATCCCTCGTCGTCCGTTGACGGCGCGACGGAGCTCATCCGGGATTCCGCCCGTCCTTCTTGGAGAGCAGGTGCGAGATCGTCGGGCATTTCCTCCTCGCGGAGCATGGCCCAGAGACGGGCCTGCTCCGCGCGGGAGGACGCCATGTCGAGGCTGTCCGCCTCGGACTGGAGACGGTGCTCGGCGGCGATCTTTGCGCGTAGAGTTTCTCGGGCGCGGGTCGTGCCGGCGAAATCGAAGGCGGAGTGGTGGATGGCCTCGAGGAGGTCGAGCTCGACGGCTGGGTCATCGGTGGATGGCTCGAGTTTTATCGGTGGTGGTGGTGACGAGGATGCTACTGCGGTGGCTGTACCCAGTTGTGAGGATTTCATCTTTGGCTGGAGATTGATGTGGTCGGAGTCACTGTCTTTATTCTCGTTTGGATGGGCGCGTTGAGGTAGGCTCGCCTCATCTGATTCAACTGGCTCGGCCTCGTTCACGCTGTCTCCAAGGTCCTCTTCATCGGAACTGGAGTCATCGGAGCTTTCGATGAAACTTGCATCCCGCGGAAAGCCGAGGACTTCTTCCACCCTGTCGTACGAGAGAAATGATAGGCCGTCGTCATGGGTCGTTTCACCCTCGGCATCTTCTACGTTGTATTCGCCGTGCTCGTCTTCGGTGTCTGTGCGATCCTGCTCGGCCTCTTCGCTCGAGTCTCGACTTTCCTCCCCGTCTTCCACAAGCTCTGATTGCTCTTCGTCTTGCGGCTTTGCATCTTTCGATAGTTTTATTTCAGGCAGCATTTCCTCGTCATCATAGACATTCAGCCTAAGCCTCCGCGCCGAGGTCGCCCAGAACTTGCGGCTGTCACTGGGCATCCTCAAGGAGAGCCTAGCCGCCTTGACATCTTGCACCTTGACTGAGCCCATCTTCGTCTGCTTCCTTCTTCGCAGGCGGCTGTTCGCCATGATCAGAGTCGTGGCCAGCAGCCTTCTAGTGACACTCTTTGCAAGACTATAGAAGTCCTCTAGTGCCGTCGATCGTATAGCCGGCTTCTCAGGCCCCATAGACCGCCAATTGCCGTCCTCGATCGCGGCGTTCATGAAGACGTGCTCCGACAGGTGCAACCACTTTCTTGTGATGAAGAACTCCCCAAAGTTCTGTATGTCCGGGTCATGCTGTTTCACCTGGCGCTCTAGGTCGCGCGCCACGGCGGGGGTGATGAGCCACGGCGTGTCGCCCCATCGTTGCTCTTCGACGCCGTCCTCGTGCGCCTCCTGGCGCAGCGAGAGATCGTCTGCAACCACATCCAGCGCGTTGCAGGTCTCCTGGTCCACCTCAATGGCGGCGGGGTGGTCGGCCAGGGTGACTGCGCCGGATCGCTTCGCCTGGTTCTCCCGGCGGTTCGCAACGGCGTCTTGCAGGAGCATCAGGTACTGCCTGACCTCAAGGGCGCTCTTGGTCTGGACGTGAGCGGCTATCCCCGGGAGGTCGTCCTGCCCTAAGCGTGTAACGGCGGAGAATAGTGCATTCTTTTCGTCAGCGCTCCAGTTGATGACCCCGATCTGGGAGGGTGCAAGCTTTTGGCGGAAGTCATGGGAATGCTTGCTCGCCACGTCGAAGACAAAGTTGTTGAAGAAGGCCAGGTATGTGGCATTGAACGCTGTCTTTCTGCGCTTGAGAGGCGCATTGGGATCTGGGAACAGATCTTGAGCCTCATAGCTGCGGCGGCGCTTTCGTGGAGAGGACCAGCCGGGTTGGTCTGCATGGCGTGGCTGCTGGTGCACTCGGCCCTCGAGTGAGAGGTTTGGCGTGGAGCGAGCACGTGCACTGGTATCTGCTCCTCCGTCGCTCCTGTTGTCCGTCGAGTCGTCGCCAGCCTCAGGCCGATAATCGACTTCCATCTCGTCGGGATCCATGGCTACGAGATTGGAGATAACATAGGCTTGGCGGCGACTGAAGACGAAGTCATGGCGGAAGCGTCCTTGGATCGTCAGAGCGCAGCCTGCCTCGGGAACGTCGTATTATGGCTGAGATTTGTGTATGAGCCGAATGAGGAGAAGGACGACTGCGCACTGGGAAAGTGAGACCCGACGGGTGTTGTCTCATTTCACATGGCCTGGTTGTGAAGTTTCGTTTTCAGTGTTGTTCACTGAGGCAGGTTCGCTGGTACCAGCCGTCAGCGCCTCCACTCCACCCAACAGGGCCCCTGCCGGCCCACAGGCACGTCTGCAGGAACCCTTGAACACATTGGGCTCCTGGCGGTCGTACATGCTTTAAGTACCTTAGGTACATAGTACACCACTCCGCCAAACGTCATCGTCACAATTTACCAAAGACACCAGGAGCACCGCAGGAGACAAACCATGCGGTGTCATGTTGCGCTCCGCCGTTGCGAAATGGCGCTGTGCCCAGGAGCTTGTGCCACACTTCAGCTTCTCCGCTAGGCTGAACCGTGCAGCACTTGGATACAGCCTCGTCCGCAGCTTCACCGGCAAGGTCCAGCTCCGGGACTACCAGGAGGAGTGCATCCAGGCCGTGCTGGCCTCATTCCGACATGGCAAGAAGCGCCTGGGTATCTCACTTGCCACGGGTGCCGGCAAGACGGTCGTCTTCACGCAGCTCATCGACCGCGTGCCGTCGCTCTCGCCAGATGCCACCCAGACTCTCATCCTCGCCCACCGCAGGGAGCTCGTCGAGCAGGCTGCCCGCCACTGCACAAATGCGTATCCGGACAAGAGGGTCGAGGTCGAGATGGGCAACATCCATGCCACGGGCACCGCCGATATCACCGTTGCCAGCATCCAGAGCATCACCTCGGGCGACCGCACTGCCAAGTTTGACCCGGCGCGCTTCAAGCTCGTCTTGGTAGACGAGGCCCACCACATCGTCGCCCCAGGCTACCTGCGTGTGCTCGAGCACTTCGGCCTTGATGCTAAGAGGGACAACTCGCCAAACCTGGTCGGCGTTTCTGCGACATTCTCCCGCTTTGACGGCCTCCGGCTCGGCGCGGCCATTGACGAGATCGTCTACCACAAGGACTACGTCGACATGATCAATGATAAGTGGCTTTCTGACGTAGTCTTCACCACCGTCGAGTCCACCGCAGACCTGTCTAAGGTCCGGTCCGGCCCTAGCGGGGACTTCCAGTCGTCCGAGCTGTCACGCGCCGTCAACTCGGACGAGATCAACGAGATCACCGTGCGTAGCTGGCTTGCCAAAGCCGCGGGCCGCAAGTCCACGCTCGTGTTCTGCGTCGACCTCGCGCATGTCGCCGGTCTCACGAGGACTTTCCGGCAGTTTGGCTACGACGCGCGATTTGTCACCGGCGATACACCCAGGGTCGAGCGTGGCGAGCGCCTCGATGCTTTCAGGCGTGGCGAATTCCCCGTGCTTATCAACTGTGGCGTCTTCACAGAGGGCACGGATATCCCCAACATCGACTGCGTCTTGCTCGCGCGGCCGACCAAGTCGCGAAATTTGCTGATCCAGATGATCGGTCGTGGCATGCGTCTGCACGCGAGCAAGACCAACTGCCACGTCATCGACATGGTCTCTAGCCTGGCGACGGGCATCGTAACAACGCCAACATTGTTCGGTCTCGACCCGGGCGAGCTAGTCAAGGAGGCTTCGTCAGAAGACATGAAGTCCATGAAAGACCGCAAAGACGCTGAGCAACAGCGCAAAGAAGAAGCCTATCTCTCATCCAGCAAGCCCTCGGGCAGCGCGCGCCCGTTCAAGGGGAGTCTCACCTTCACAGAGTATGACTCGGTGTTCGACCTGATCTCGGACACATCCGGCGAGAAGCACATCCGCGCCATTAGCCCGCACGGCTGGGTCCAGGTTGGGCCAGACAAGTACGTCCTGGCCGGCACGAGCGGCTTCTTGCGCGTCGAGCGCGAGGAGTCCGCGCAGGAGGGCGAGCCCAAGTGGATCGCCTACGAGATCCGCGCGCTGCCCACGTCAGCAAAGACCAGAGCCCCCTACGCCGCGCCGAGAAAGCTGCTGGACGCTGCGACGTTCGCCGACGTCGTGCACGGTGCGGACAAGTACGCCTCAGAAACGTACGCACACGCCGTCATCTCGGCGCGACAGACCTGGCGCCGCGGGCCCGCGACCGAGGGGCAGCTCAAGTTCCTGAATAAGCTGAGGAGCAAAGACGACCAGCTGGAGGCCGAGTCCATCACAAAGGGCAAGGCGGCGGACATGATCACAAAGATCCGCCACGGGGCGAGGGGCCGGTTTGCCGCGTACTCTGTCGACCGGCGGCGCAGGGAGCGCCAGGACGAGTCGAGGAGGCGGGACCAGATGAAGGGCGAGGTCGCTGGCGTTGGGCCGCTGATTCGGTGACCCCGGCTGTATCAACTAGATATATTAATGAGCAGGGCATGATGATGAGCCCGAAGATATATTTCCCGTTTACGTACAACATTCATTAGATTTGTAGAACAGTGTACACTACGAAAATAGAACACATATGGAACAGACAAGAAATACGGTCTCTAAGGGGTCGGACACACTCTCCGCTCCAATATGCTTCGCCATCCTGTCGATGTAGGTGCATGAAGCGACTGACAGGAGGAGGTTCTTTTCGATGTCCAACGAGGATGGATCATCCCGCGCTTGGCTACGGATGGTATGAAGGATAATTTCCGTCTGGCACCATCAGCGACCGAGGTGACCTGGTCACGCTCGACAGCACCCACTCTTGAGACAACGGACGACCCCATTCACCACCACAGTGATTTTAGTCGCCGGCCACGCCCTGGAAGTGCATGATGAGCAAAACAAGAGCAAGAACAAAAAATAAAAATAAAAGGAATTGCCGTGCTTGACTAACTAACACAAGGCCGAGCTGACCCTCGGGCAGAGATGTATGCACCGTCTGAAGACGAGGCAAAAGGAACTGCAAAAGTTATGACAAGAAGGGGATTCGAACCCCTGCCACTTTCGTGACCAGAATGAGATCTCTCCTGGAGGAGAGCCAAGTTTTTTATAACTTGAGTCTGGCGCCTTAGACCGCTCGGCCATCTTGCCTTGAGATTGTTAAAGCTTTATGCTCTACTATAAAGGTGTCGATTTACACTTTGAGAAAACAGAGAAGCGCCGTCGTCCGGAACCACTTTCTCACCACTGCACATGTTTCGAAGTGACGCCATAAGTTCAGGAGTATATTTTTGATTGCTCGGTCGATTGTGATTGCGATTGTGGTAATTACAAGCTATATCTGTAAAGGAAAATGGAAAACGCTGAACTTCATCGCTCGCTTGCTCGATGGAAACCCCAACTCTAGTAGCTACTGATACTGCAACAGTCGTCGTGATCGTCGAAAGGCCCTACATTTTTCGTGCCTTGTCATCAAATTCAAAAAGAGCGTCTTCCTTGTCCTCGTAAGAGGTCGTTCCTGTCCTGTCTGTCCATGTTGTTGTTCTGTCGTTCGTTCAGTTGCGCGCCGTGTTGCGCTCATACGTGCCAGTAGCACGCAGGTTGTGGGCGATGCGTTACCCGTGTTGTATCTGTACTCAAAATCATGCAAATGTGTGAAACAAATCCTCCAGTCGTCCTGATGACGCGAACGCGAAGCCTCACGCCGGAGCAGGAACCTTGTGAGAATCACAGGCCTCGTCATCAAGTCCATCTGCCGTTGTTGTTGCACCACGCTCATCGTTGATGGGCCCACCTTCGCCAAGGCCTGAACCGTACTCTTGCAGAGGAGATGGCTTCTCATGCGCGGCACCGATCCCCATGAACACGAGCTGCCCTCTTCCCTGTGGAGACGGAGAAGCGGTATCAGCATTGTGTGCCTTTCCCGACTTTTCCAGACCACCAAGCGCCTCTTTACAAGCTCCTTCGAGTACAAGATCGTCCAGAGACTCATCATCCTCATCCTGAGACAAACCTGCACAATCAGCTTGCATAGCATTTCGAGCCATTGCATTACCATCGTCTGTTCGACCCCCGGTTGTTTCTATGTTTGAAGGTGGGGCGTCGGCAAGATCGGATGGTACCTTGCTTTGGTCTTCGTGCTCTGCACTGCCCAATTTCTCGGGCAGCAACTGATCATGCAGTTCTGTCTGCGGAGTCAATGATTCATCAATGAACGACTCTGTGCTCTCAATGGGAACGCCAACTGCCTCGTCATGCAACGCTGGAGTTGCATTTAGGGGCATTACTTCCTCCTTCTGACTGTCACCGCCAGTCGTCGGAGCCCGCTGACATGCGGGCTCGTCTGGAAGCTTGGTATTAATTCCGCTGAGATTGTTTTCGAGTTGCTTTGTGATCTTCTCCATGGTTGGGGTCTCCTGAGGCGTTTCAGCCTCGTCGTCCGTGTGCTCATCCTCTGAGTGTGCGAACCTAGTGAAAGGTCGTCCAAAGAATGCCGTGTCGAGCAGGCCGCTTTTACCCGGCAAGGGACTGGGTGGAGATCTTCCACGCGGAGGGTAGTACGAGTCCTCGGAAAAGGATGGTGACGCTGGAACGTCATATGCGTACGGGTTTGGGGTCCAGGTGTATGGACGGTCGACGTTTCTGATGCGGGGCCATGCGCTGTCGTCATTGTCTGCGATTTCGTAGCTGTGAACATTGTCGTCTTCCTCGACCGAGATGGCCAGAGCCTCCTCAGGGAACTGCTTCAGCAGTTCCGCAGCCTGGAGTCTGCATCGTGGGTCTTCGTGAAGACAAGCATGAACAATGCTGCGATACCACTTGGGCACACCGATGTCGTGGCCGATCCTCAGCGGGCGTCTATGGGCTTCCGGCTCGTCTTCCATCGTAGCCAGAGCCCAAAGAACCATCCCCAGTTGGAAAAGATCTGATTTGACACCGATGTACATCGATATGCGCTGGTTGCATTCGATCAGAGGCGTCACTTCTGGGGGCTCCCATCCGACTGGGCAGCCTCGCCTATTAATGTCAATGATCTTGGCGTTCTGAGCGTCGTCAATGACAATATTCGATAGTGTGAAGTCGCCTTGGACAAATCCTGCTTCGTGTACATCGGAGAGTCCTTGGACAATCTGCCTGGCCCATCGCTGCTTAAGCTGCCAGTCGATCGATCCACCGGATTCTGTTGCATGGTATATAACATCGACCAGAGCCCCCTGCTCTGCGAAATCGATGAGGAGGCCTTTCACATGGCCAGCATCATCGATGACCACGCCATAGAAGTTGATAATATCAGGAGAGGACCCGAGAGAGCTGAGTGCGTTGACCTCATACAGGAACTCGTCAACAGTGTCAGGGCCGGGTATCTCCTTCTTGATGAGGACCTGCCCATTGTGTTGCACTTTGTAGACGAAGCCCGACATGTGCGAATCGAATTCTAATTCGCGCTCGAGGACACGCCTACAATGCAGGTGCTGAATATTCTGCACAGTGGGATAGTGGATGATTTCCTGTAGAGCAGAGTCAGTGTCGCGCCCGGCCTACGAGTCGTGCCGGTCAAGGTCATGACTTACATTGACATCCTCCACTACGTGTACATGGAGTCTGCCGTCGGTGGTTTGGAGTTTGAGGTTGGTGACCGTCTCGTAGAACTGAATGTCTTGCAGACTGTCACGAATGGCTTCGTATATCCTGGAGCTCTTGTCGCGCTGGTATTTGGTCACGGAGAGGTCCTTTTCAAGAGAGTCGTCGGGGGCATTGCGGTAGTCAAGCGAGATGGTGACCCTGCGCCAGACGTCGTCCCTTTCATGGTAGGTAACGAAGAACTTTTCGCGTTTCGACCTGTCTCGGAAGTGCATGCTGAGGTTCAAGATCCACTTCGTCTCCAGTTCGTGTTTGAGCAGGCCATCGTACATGGAGCTCGTCATGGAGCGGGCATCAGCAGTCGAGGGTGCCGCAGATGGCTGTGGCGGCTGTTCTTCATACCCATCCTGGTGAATATCGTGCTGAGGGGGATGGATATGAGGATCATGCTCCACTGGCCAGCCGTAGTCGTGATCGATTGGGCTCGGCGGTGCTGAAATTGCCAGGGGATGCATCATCTGGGACATCGTGAGAGGCTGAACAGCACCCGTGAGTTCCGGGGCACTGCCATGGTGCTGGGTCACTGGGGAAAGCGAGCGGTGCGAGCGTTGAGACCGCAGCCGTCTGTCGACCGAGACAGCTCTGCGCTCCGCTTGGGTCTGCTCCGTTGATTCCAGCCTGGTCCTGTCCTCAGACAGCTGCCTCTTGAAAGTCTTGGCACGTGGCAGTCCGGGGACAACTTTTCGGGACACCCGCCTCAAGAGCGCTGCGGCGGCGGCAGGTGAGGTTGGACGTGACGAAGGTGGGCTCGCCGGCGGGGTGTTTGCGGGAGCCGCCGAGCCCTGATCCTTGCCGAAGACCTTGCGCCAGATATTGGTGAGCTTGCCCCCATCTCTAGTTGGAGATCCGTGCACAGGTGCGTCAGAGTGCGCAGCCATCTTGACGACTTTCTGGCGATACCAGCGGCGAATGGATGAGAGGCGCATAAACCGCGGCCTCTGCAAGGGGCAACAGCGGCTGCTCGACGGACTGGGAAAGTCTGGCAGCACCAATGTGCCTGGGAGAACTATCGAGGCAGTGCGGTGCGATCTGGTCGAGCTGCCCTCAGGGCGAGGGTCTGGGTGGGTTGGTGCCGGACAGCTGTGCCCAGCCAGGTGTTGAGGTTATTTGTAGAGGTGACAATGAGCTGGGAAGAGGTGAGCAAGAAGGACCAGGAGAGATGCTGGCAAGAGAAAGAGGATGCTGACTGCAGGACGAGGCCGGGGTGGGCTTCATAGATCAAGCATATCTCGAGGACATGCACGAGGCAGAAGACTGCGGCTGACGGGTCCGCACGAGGTGATCGGAAGAGAGGAAGGAGCAGAGGCCGGGCACGGGGAGCTGAGACGAAGTTATTGGGCGGCGGCGTGCAAAGGCGCAGCAGCCATGATGTGAACGGCACTTGTCGTGAAGAGCATCGGCGGTCGCGGGTGGGAAGGAGCGGCAGGGGGCCTCTGGGATGAACGAGCCTGAGGCAGGGGTGCCTGAATAGTGGTGCTTGCATCGCGAGTGATGACTCCTTCCGTGGGCTGCTCTTGCCCTTCTCGTCGTCAATACATGGACCCCTGTGCCTCTCTCTGGTGCTTTCTGACCTCTGGACAGTCCTGACTCGGAGCCTTCGTCACGTCCACTCCATCGCGGACGCACAGTCAGCGCCTCTTGCCTGGCGAGCCCGTCATTCGACGCCGCCAGACTCCTGATGCAGGCGCCTGCAGAGGTACAGCAACTGCGGCCTTCAGGCTGCAAACCAGCAGCGTCCCAGCCCTTGGGAGGGTCACCCACACACCCCTCCCCTGGCACGACGGCCTTCCAGAACAGCACCAGCCAGCAGGGGCCTGGGAGCTCTTGCGGTGAAGCATCAACGCCCAAGCGCCAGGGCGCGGAAGCGCACAAAAACACCAAGCCTTCCTGCTCACGGGTTAGGCCTGGCAGGCTAGAGCTAGCAGGCCCCGGCCCTGCGGCCTCTCCCGGATCCACCGCTGCAGTCCCAGCTCCGGAGCTGCCCACCTGGGCAGCTGTGCCTCGTCCAGCACTGCCGTTCCGACTTCTCCTTCTTGTCGATGCCGCTTCTTGTCGCAACTCTGGCCACATCGGAGGCAGTCCCGTTCAGACACGCTCTCCGCCCGTCGGCCTGACCTACGACGCCATGAAGTCCTGTCTTGCACTGGCCTGGCCCGGGAACATTGTTCACTCACTACCAGACACCCATCTGACAAGACGCCGGCGCCAAAGGGCAGAGCGATGACATGCACGCTCTGATTGGCGACCCGACTCTACGTCTCTGACAGCTTTGCCCAGGGTCTAGCGTCGCGATTCCTGCCCAACGGTCCGCCTGGCAGTGGTCGAAACGATGCTAGACAGCCTGTTGCATCGGGCCGCAGTGCTGGCTGATGCATGATGCGTTGTACAAATTCCCTCCCGCACCCGTCACTTGCCCTCTCGAAATCCCTCCGTCGCCGCAGCCACCCACGCAACTCGACCAACGAAAGCAACTCGTCGTGTGGTGGTCGAATCCGTGCGGCCCGGCCTGC